CATTCGTTGAAAAGAATCAGACCTTCATTTGATTTCGATCTCACATAAAAATTCTTAGTCATCCGAAAACATTACTAGCGTAGACGAATTCAAAATTTCTGCTTTAATCCACAGGATTGATTGGTCCGGCAGCACTCCATAATCGGCATGTGTCGAGCAGGTCTCATTATTCGCCTCTGCAGCGGCTTGTACATATGTTCATTGCCTTGGGAAAGACGGTTGCGAAGAACTACGAGGTTGTATTCGGCTTAATGGCGGAAGCGCTGTAGCTCGCTATTCGGTTGTTCCGACGGTGACCAGTTCAACGCCACCCGAGCTCCACTGCCTTCTTCGTAATCGCGAACATTATTGCTGTCGTTGCAAGAGCACTTGAAGCTTATTAAGACGTCTCTAAACTTCGATCATGATAGAATCAGAACGCGAGAAGAATAAACGCAGCGCCGAAGACCCTGAAAGGAGGTGAGTGTAAACTTCGGCTAGTCGGTTCTTCATTTACTCAGCCATTCCATAGGAGGGCTCGGAATAGGCTGTCGCAGCGTGCATACCGCCGCAGGCATGCTGAGCGGGTGAGAGAACTCCAAGAACGCGCTGAGGCAGGCAACTTGCCGCAGAACGAGGCTTTCGAGAAGTTGCGGAAAGAGAATCACTCTTTACGAAAGCAGCTACTCGATGTTCAATCAAAATTGACTAAGCTCACCGAGACGGTAAAGGCCTTGGCTGGCTCTGTCACGAACGCCTTGGATGGGTGTTCACCAGAGGAATTACTAAGTCAAACTGAGGAGATTGATTCACCTCTTGAGCCAAATGGAAGTGCAACCACTCAATGTGGCATTCCCAGTTGTGAGCCCCTTGGCTCAATCTCGTGTTCAGGTTCGGCAGAGGATAGCGCCTTTCAACCATTATCGCGTCCAGTGACAACAGTCCTTTATCCATCCGAAACTTCTCAGGTAGCTATCCGTCCAGGTACATCCACTATTAGCCTTGACTGGGAAGCCCCATCGGAGGGTTTGAGTGATCTACTTCAACCTCAAATCCCAAATATCTGGAGCCACCAGTACCAAATGGGCTTGCAACCCTACACCAGAGCATTGTCAGGAAGCGAATATTCCAGCCTTGTTCTCCACAAGCCTTGGGTTGAGACCAATTCTGCATTCTCTGATCATATAGCTGTTCTCCTCCAGTTGATGAGGGCAAACACAAGGCATCTTGAATCGCAATGGAATCGGCGTGAATTGTGCTGCCACTGAGCGAACTTCATTTCTAAAATGACACTGCTAATGATGAAACAGGCTTTATCGACAAGTTGTGGCGGTCTTAGGATTATTCAATAGCCTAACACGGCCAGAAGCCATGGCATKGTACGCGAAAACGAGATTTCACCATATCGTCGACTTGACCACATGGCAATTATATCCATGTCCAGCGACATTGGATAGAGTCGAAAAACAATATCGACCGACAATGTTCCAATTACAGCACCAACATCCTAGAGTGATCGATTGGATACCGTTTCCATCTCTACGAGACCGGCTGATCCGTCTGCATTCGGCAAACCCTCAGATCGACCAGATATTCTGCGATGTGGTCAGCAGTTATACGGTTGAAGCCTGTTTGGCAGACTTGGTCTCAGGTGCGCCCAAAACAAAGGTCTATATTCGGGTTACGGACATTGCTATGGGTGCTGCCGACATGAAGAAAAAGATCGATCCATATACTGTACTCCCGGCTCCAGATGCCACAAGCTTGTTCTCGCTTCCCGAATGCGCTCAAGCTGCTTTCACACTCCTGAATATGGACCACGGAGTTTCGCAGTACAAACTTGATCCCTCTTTTTTCGGCACCTATCCAGAACTTTTCGACCCAGGGGAAGATATTGTGGCGCAAGGTGCTCCGTTAAGGCCAAATACTCAGACGCGTTTACCTCCCCCGGGCCGTCTTGATAATTTGACATTTCAGACATATCGGAGCTTTATGGAATTCCACACGCTTGCCCTTGCACCTCTTCAGACCTCGTCTGGATTCATCTAGTCCATCTACTTATTCTGCTATTGATGAAAATTTGAAATATGATGTGCACATATTATTAATTATGAGTCTAGGACTCGTTAATTAATCCATTCGTACCATGAGAAAGATACAGTAGGTATGTATGTGTATTTCATTTATCTGATTAGAATACATAGTGGTTAGGGACCCACATATATATATCCTAGCGTGCCCATGGTAGGGAATAGACTCGCCCTTAGGCTAAAGTGCCTCCGCGTCACCGGCTACCCAAGACCTGATGGGAGCCAGGACGGGGCTCAGGACATGCCCTAAGACTTACCCCTAACAACTAGCAAGGGCACCTACCTAGGTATTAACCACATTCAAGCCGCACGCCAGCTGGTTAGTAGTTAAATGGATGATCACCAGCGAATCCCCGCCGTTGTATATTTGTCTTTTTTTCACCTCTTCAACGATAAACAAGGAGAGGCGTGAACATCGCGCAAGGCCGCCTTTCAGGCTAGATATGGGAGCAAATAAGCGGTCAATATCTGTACAATGATTCTAATCCTTCATCTCCGGGTCGCCATGAGAAGCATTCTCTTCTTCTAACGAGGAACCAATGATTTCTCCAATCTCCCCTGAGGCCGTCCCTGCTAGAACCCCGATTCCAATTATTCCGCCGTCACTGATCTCGCGAAGGAAAACGCTTTTACCTCCTTCCTGCGGTCCAGCACATAAGATGAGCCGATCGATATATCTCTGAATAGTTTCCTTATAATGAGGATAGTGTTGGATGACTCCCCCTGAGACGGCTACAGCCAGTTCTTCCGGTCCGTTCTTCCAGCCTGATTTGGACGAAAACCTACTGTGCAACTCACCTTGTTCAGTAAGCTTCACTGCAACATGCGAATCCCGATCGATCTTGGCGCTTAGAGAGTCAGGACTCCGCAGCTGTATCTCTCGAGTGCAGGCAAGAAGGCCAACAACTGCGGAAGCCACTAGAGCAGCAGCTCGGTCCTGCACTGCCGATGCAATGGCACGAACATCACCAGCTAATTCAGGCGTCCAACTCCAACTGCTCGTTATGGGAGGCGGCAAGTGCTTTGACAGATCGCCTGCTAAGCGTACATTGGAGTAATTGGAAGCCACAAAAAGAGAGAGAAATTCTGTTGTGAGAGAATATTCTTCGACTAGCTTCTGGGGAAGCGCAGATCGCGCGATTCCTAGAGAACGATGGAACCAGTCGTAACAGATGATTCGGACCAATTCCCCGATATATCGCCCGCCGACCATGTACTCGAATGGTTGAAATCCTGGTCGTTGGGAATGCATATCCAATTCAGTATCCCATGGAGTTGTGATGCCAAGCTCATGCAAAGGAGCAGCCGCACTAGAAACTGTCCACTCAGTAGAAACTAGTGTTTCTATCGCATCAGGCTCCCTGGCACGTATATGACGAGTCTTTGACTCATGGAGATCAGTAATTCTAAATGGAACAGTAGCGTTACAACCAGCGCCTACAATCAGCCCCATGACCACGCGCGTGTTGGGCAGAGAAGGGATAAAGTATGCCAGAGAGGCAAGGGTCGCAACGGTGTCATTGGTCATGACGGCGATTTTTAATGAAGGCAGACAGTAGAGCTTCCGTTTCTTAGCTGGCATCGGCCCATCATCCTCATCAAGGCGACGGGTGTGACGTTCATATCCACTCAGCAACGCCTGGCGAAGGTTCAGGTCTGAATTCAAGGCAAACCCTTTCCCTGTCGGCATTAAGGTGGCTTCATCTAGGGATTTTTGTCTATCTTCTAATTAGATATTTGACACATTGGGGGAGACGGAGGGGTTATCATGTACTTAACAGGAAAACAGAGTGAAATGCCTGTAGTCAATTCACTGGGCATGTTCTCACTTGGATTGGCGAGACTGTCCGCCACCACTTCGGCAATACAGTCACCAATCCAAGTGAACAGGTCCCGGGCGTGATCTCGTCGCAAGTGCTCTTCAATAGGCCATGCCTTCTCCAATGTCCGCCTTACGCGCGAGTGACCCTCAACCTGTTGATCTCCCAACAGGTCAATGAAGGCGATTCTTAGATACGATAGACCAACATAGACCGCTAGATAGCGGCCCGTTTCGTGCCCTGTGGGAAGACATGTGATTGCCGTGGGGAAAAACTCCTCTAATGAGGTTGAATCTAACTTCTGATAGGACAAAGAGAGGCGATAAGATAGCTCATATAGCGTATCAAGCTCCGTATGAAGCGGCCGAAGGAATTCCTTAAGGTCCGAACATGTTCTTGGGTTGGCTGGGATACTAGAGTTTGGCTTTGACATGCTGTTTGTTACTCAACGATGTATAAGTCTGCAGGCGACGGGGATGTCTCAATTAACAATTAGATGACTGCCCTCTCCAGCAGATAGTGTGATGGAAACTAGGACGTAGAGACGTCAAGACAAGCCTCCATCGCCCTGATTTAGCGCCTGGTGGAGGAACGGTATGATATGCCCGATCATTCTTACTAATCAATAGTATAAAAATACTACCTTATATTTACGATGGCTATCAACTCTGTACTAACCGAGGTAAAAATAGTCTCAGTTTAACTCATAACTTAGCAGCAGAACCTAAGACAATATCATATTACCAGAATGTCGCCCATTTAATATTCCCACACCATTAGCTAGTTCAAGCGTGATGGAGTCACTCATCACCATGGGCATTAGATACAAGAATGAGTAGTGCAATATTGCTATCCGTGGTGAAAGGGTGGCCCAAGCACATTTGTGAAGGCTGTAATCAAAAAAGGCTATAGCCTATATCCAAGGGATTTAACCTCACTATGGATTTACAATTGAATTTCAAGGTCACCCCTACTAAACAGAGCTCTTCACACTTACGGTATCATGAGTAACATCATACCAGAAATTGCCTGTTTAGGACAGGAGAGTGTGGCATTATCCAGCGCGGTGTGGATCTTGGTTGACCTCTCCAGCCATCCCCCGAGGCTACTTCAGATATCTTGTCCTTTCGATTGACAGTCTCCTAGAAGGCATCCTCATGGTGGTTACACAGCTCCATGCCTTGACGAGCGACTTTCTTGGAACGATGAGTTATCTGCTCCTGGGCCCAAGCATCGCTGAGTAGAATGCACTATGATTATATATTTCCTACCTGAGTGATGCATACACCTAGGAACACAAAACAACCACACTTATCCTCCTTTATGACATCCACACTTGCTATTTCAAGCACATACGACCATAGGGTGTGGAAAACAGGGCTTCCCGTCCGCTCAGCCGTACTTAAGCCACACGCCGGCCGGTTAGTAGTTGGGTGGGTGACCACCAGCGAATCCCGGCTGTTGTATGTTTTTGCTTCACCCATTCTTTTTGATGTCAGATACAGCACCCTCTCTACTCAGTAACTCTGCTTAATCTCATACCCTTCTGATAACCCTGCGGCAGTGTAGATAGCTCCCGGCTACGTACGGGAGCGGTCGTCGTAGTAAAACTCTAGACGATCAGCTTGTCTCCTCCGTCAGACCGTTGTCAAGAGATAACACCCATTGATGAGTTGGCACGTCTGACCGTTCGGGTACTGGTGGGCAGGGTTGCAGCTGTACCGGCCTTGGCTGTCGTTAGATCCCGGAGGAGGGCAGTCAGCTGTAGAGCCGGGGGCAGGGGAGACGATCGGGTTGCCTCCGTCAGCCGTTGCCAGGAAATAGCAACCGTCGATGAGTTGGCATGTCTGACCATTCGGGTACTGGTGGGCAGGGTTGCAGCTGTACCGGCCTTGGCTGTCACTAGATCCCGGAGGAGGGCAGGACGTGGCCGAAGCAATGACAGCGCTACTGAAGAAGCTGAAAATAGACAGGAGTTTCATATTAACATAGACGATTGATGGTGTCTGAGGATTTTGTGCAGGTTAGAGGCTGTCGTTGGGGCTTTTATACTTTTTGAATTACAATACCCACTTGACAATGAAACAGAAGTTCAATTAAAGACAGACTACAGCTTGTAACGGGGCCCATTCTGAGATTGCCAATAAATGCATAGTAAAGCCACGTTCATACTTAGCCATTCTTAATATAGACTAGTGAAGTTATTTTAGCTGGCTTCTGGCTGCCTGCACTTTCTGTTTTGGGTGCTTGCTGCTACATCACCCTCCGTGTCTCAGGTCAGTCGCCAGTGCAAAAGATAGCAGTGTGGGTGATAACTCATCGTTCACTGCATAAGACATGTGTATTGGGTCCGTGGAGAAAAGAAGCGGTATAGACTCAAGGTTAAAGGCTGAAGCCAAGGTTAAAGTTGATTATAATGGACTTCCAATCTGGACTTAGCGAGGGCTCATGTCTCTAGAAGAGTTTCCTAGCATACCCAGTCACACTGTACATTCGTGAGATCGCGGTGTGATCGTCTGAACACCTTGGATCATCTAAGCCAGTTAGCTGTTGATGGGATGAGCTATAGAAGACTCTTTATATATCACACGCCACTACGCATGGTAAGAATTGAATAAATGACAGATCAGCGTTGTACCGTACCATATAGCGTCTCACGGATATCACGTTAATTGGTGCACCATAATCCCCCACTACACTATTAAACTATAATCGACAACCTTGCCTGTGTAGGTACCACGTATACATATTAAAGATTCGATGTCTCGTCGGGGAATATACCTGGCGGTCTAGGATCGCATTGTAGCTCTTCCAATAAGGATGAATGAATCCTCGGGCTTCCCTTTCTATCGGGCAATCTGCATGGATTTACTTTAGTTGGATGTTTCGGACACAACACCGAGCCGATCATGTACCGCAAACTATCATGGCCACTTTATTCCTTTCGCCTATTTTCAGTGTATACCGGAGAAAGTTATGTCAGGCTGTCAGCCCAACAGCATCAAAGGACGTTGTTGATTTAAGAATGTCGTGGTAGAGAATAGTTATTCAGCGTGGGTTCATCGAAGGACCCTACCATAAATGGTGCTCGGGAGCAAGGGGAAGATTACTCTATCTACAAGGGAGATGTAAGTTCAAGCCCAAGTTGCTTGTGCTAGACGAAGTGACATTTGTTCTTGGAATCAGCTGGATCCGGAAAGACCATTCTCTGTTCGACGGCGATTGACGAAGCCAAAAAGACAGCAGAGAAAACGGGAAAAGTGGCGGTACTATACTTCTACTGCTCGTTCTATCTAGACTCGTCCCAGAAACCGAATCAGCTTCTCGGAGCCCTGGTCGCGCAAGCCCTTCACAAAGGGAACTCCACTCACTACTGATTATTTGATTCACTGTTTGCATTGTTTCCCTGGTCTGAGAGGAAGATCTTCATATTTATTGACGCCATAAATGAGAGCGATGAGGCCGACGAGATTTTAAGCGTAATGCTCCGTCTAATCAAGACCTTGACACGCTCCTACATTATGATGACCAGCACAGCACCAGTGAGAAATAATTCCAGCATACTCAGGGAGGTGATGAGACCTTCTTCGAACGAAGGTGACATACTGGCATTCGTCACCTCCCAATTACAAGTGCAGCCAACATTTCGTCGTTACCACCCGACATAAAGCATGATATAAGCGAGACTCTCATGAAGAAAGCGAACGGACGTTATTTAACAAACATGGTTTCGAACTGGATTAACATCTTGCACAGGTTTCGATATGTCCGCTGTCAGATTGACCTGCTGGCTGGTCAGACAACGGGTAGAAATGTTCGTCGAGCGCTTGAGAAAATCCCAGAGACTTAAACGGGACATACGAACTTATTCCATGCCAAATCCCACCCCATTGTCGAGAACTCGCGAAGGAGGCCTTCCTCTGGTTAACATACAGCCGAGAGGCGCTCATTTTACCGGCACTGAATGAGGCACTGGTGATTGAGAAGGGTGATCGCTTTCTCGATGACGAATGCAGACTCTTCGATCAGAGCCTGATTCTCCAAGCATGCCAAGGATTGATTGTACACGATGAGGTCACAGGGGTTGTGACTCTGACTCATTCTTCTGTCAAAACATACCTCACATCAGACGATATTAAGCATGGTCCGGCATCATTCTTCAGCCTGAATGAGCCCACAGCTGCGCGAAATATTTATCAGAAATGCCTGACATACATCCTGTTTGATGCATTCCAGGCGCCGTGTATGGACATTGTCTCACTCAACGAACGCCTTGAACATTTCAAACTCCTGTCGTAATCCGCGCAGGCTTGGGCTCAGCACTGCGGCTGCCATGCTCCTACTGGCTTCCATCTTACAAGGTCAGAGATAAACAAGATCATGGACTTTTTTCAGACACGTAAACTGAAGAATGGTGGGAATTTTGCGTCCTGGGTTCAGGTGATACAACGTGGAGTGCCCAGCAAAGATGATCAAAAAACAGAGCCCCTCTATTACGCTTCGTTGTTCGGCATATTTCCTGTTGTGAATTGCCTCATCGCTAATGGCGCCCAAATTAATATCATTAATATCCCTGATAAACGGACTGGTGCCACTGCCATTATTGCTGCTACATTTAATGGGCAACTGGCGGTCGTGAAGAAGCTCTTGGAAGCAGGTGCCGACCCGAGTGTGGAAGACCGCTGTAAGATGACAAGTCTCGCATGGGCCAGGCACCGCACCGATGATCGAATTGAGGCAATTTTGTTGGCCCACAAAGCCGTCGATAGAAAACGTCGACGATCAATGACCGGCTGGTGGGTTTGCTGTGTTTGTGGAGGCGATAATAACCCTGATATGACCTGCGGAAGGTGTACACTGTGTGGACACATACTATGCTCTGGATGCAAACTGTGGTGACCAATCATTAATTGCATTAGAAGACAGATGAATCCCTGGCAACGAGGAAGTTGTTCCTGCGAATATATCATAGGATGTGGCACTCAGGCTTGCTTCCTGTCCGCTCACCTCTTCTTCATCACTAAGCCAAACTCTGTCAAGCCACTCCTCCCTGCGCGCCTGGAATTCATCAGATCTAAACTCACTAGTGGCAGCTTTTCGCGCTTCCTCCATACTATACTAAATCAACTCCCCTTCCTGCAGTGGAACTGCAGCTGCAGAATCTATCTTCTATCTATAGTGTAAATAAGCCTCTCTTGGTATTCTCTCCTTTAGATAGCCTTTTAGCAAGCTATGCAAGAACTCTGTATCATCCCTAAGTTTGAATTTATCTAAATCCTGCTTAAATATGGTTTTCTGATCTAAGGGGATATTCTTTAATAGCAAGAAAGCCTGTCACGCTGCCTGTGTCCATGCATATAGGGGGTTCTCTAATACTATTATTAGATAGGCAAGGACGCATTGTCTGCAAGGATGTCTTGCTAACCTCTATCTACCAAATGCTCCTATGTTCTAATAGTCATTATGGTCTCTAGTTATGTATTAGATTTATTCCTGTTCTGATTTCACCATCTTAAAGTAATACTTACGGCTATTAATGTTCCAATGTTATATAAATAATATAATGACTTACTGCTGTATACTAAACCCCGGCTTAAAACTACTTATTAGTAATTACTGCCTATCCATATATTATTATATTTCTGATATATTAGATTACATATAAATTCCTATTATCTATAAGATCCTTATATAGCTCTTCATGTAGCGAGCAGGGCCTGCTGGATGCTCAGGCTGTTTGGCCGAACCGAGCAGGGACAGACTATTTACATTGATAAAAACAATTCCTAGTTTTTCACACCATATCTTCTATATTTTATTATGTGCTACTGTCTAGCACATACGACCATAGGGTGTGGAGAACAGGGCTTCCCGTCCGCTCAGCCGTACTTAAGCCACACGCCGGCCGGTTAGTAGTTGGGTGGGTGACCACCAGCGAATCCCGGCTGTTGTATGTTTTTGCTTCACCCATTCTTTTTTTGACAGACATAACCCTCCCTACTCGGTAAAATTCTGGTTAATGTCATGCCCCGGTTTGGACGTGTGTGATCTGCAGGGCCGAGTCTTCACAGCCGCAATCCTAGGCAAAGTCGCCCGACGCAGTTGCGGGTAGCACAGCTAATACTGCAGAGATCCATGGACAAGAGCGGAAAACCGGAACACACCAACTATGACGTGAGAAAATGAGGCTGCTAAGAACTTCGAGGACGAGGGGGGCACATGCGAGTTAGATAAATCAAACTTTGATCGAGTTTCATCAAGTTCATCAAGTCACTCCCATCTTGCCAAGCAATATCCGACTGTTGCATTCCCTACTCAAGGGACCGGAGCCTTCTCGAGCCCCCAAGCCACTGGTACAAGACTCAGGCTTCCCCGTTGTGAGAGTCTCATGTCAGGTTCTCACATACTTCTCCCGCTGGAACTATGCTCCGAGCGAGGAAGGCCTCTTCAAGATACAACAAGCCGTCGAGGTAATTGCGCAGGCGTATTTCGCTTACCTTCCGCCACAAGAATCCATACTTGGATACCTATTTGCCGCGTTTGATTTATTTCGTACATACCACAGGATATTGATCAGGTCCAGCATATCCTTCGTGACAGTGAGCTGTTCAGCCAGTTTGTCCCATACCTGTCGACGCCTGATGATCTCTCGAGAATGCGTACTCATTTAGCATCATGAGAGCCTGAAAACTTTAAACCCGGGCCCTACAGGGTTGAAATCGTTGAACGTGGACTCAGTAATTGTGCTGCGTTTGCCGATCGATCGTTTCCTTTCGAATCGAGCTGTTAGTTCTCGATTTGAGTCGTTGGATGTCCGCTGTAATTCGCCAGTTAATCCCAAGGGCGACACTGCATGCATTTGCCCCTCCAACCCCGACGTATTCTTTCAGCCCTGTGTGTCATTATTTTTCAATCTGCGAGACATTGATAGCCATTCAGGATGCGTTCGAGGCAATATATCGACAGCTCTTTGCATGTTGCAGATAGCCGCCTCCAGATTTCCAACATCTCCTGTCCGATCATACAGAGTTAATAGTCAGTCTGCAAAGCTGCTCAACAATTTGGCAAAATTCAAAAGATCCGGAGCGGTGAGATTAATCGCTCTGCGGGTAATGTTGATGGTGTCTTCCAGGTCGTCGATAGATCCTGTACGGTTGTACCGATGTAATGGCATAATACCAATATTGTTTAGCAGTCCTGTTAGATCTGGGTGGCCTTGAGGGGTGATTTTATTTGCCCTCCTGGCGCTGTGAATACATTTCTTAAGATCTGTAATGTTGCCTGTTCGATTAAACCGAGTCAGGAGCCTGTTCCCAAGGTTGCTCAACCACAGTGCCATATCCGGATGATCAGGAGGGGTGATATTAATTACTCTATGAATAATGCTGACGGCGTCTTCCAGATCCTCAATGCTCCATGTCTGGGCGTACCCGTCTGAGAACATTCTTTCAATGCCATCAAGCTCTTGGATCTGGTCAGGATAATCTTTAGAGACAGCGCTCAATGGCATTTTACGGTTGCTGACAACGTCCCCCAGGTTTTGTACGACGTCTGTCGGAAAATGCCCTTCGGTTGCCACAGGTGCAACATTTGACTTCATTTCTGGTTTGATTGATGGGTCACTCGCCTCTATGCATTCTGCTCCGTTCTGGACGGACTGAAGCCCCTGTCCTGCCATTCCTTCAGGAATATTATTTGATCGGTAAACAACGGCGTCTTGAATCGGATTTGAATGCCTTTAAGCATATCAGAGAGCTCTGCTCGTCTTGTTTCTTTCCCTTCTGCGAACCTTTGCGAGCCATCCCACTTCTCTCCAGCTTAATGTTCTCTTTCTTTTCTGTCTCGGATATCATTTCTGATAGATGCGTAATGATGCAGCAGGATATCGGCTTCCCAGTCACTGAGGGTTTTGTTCCTTGCAGCTGTTATTTTCGAAAGAATGGCCCCTTCAGTCTGCTCTGAAATGTTGCCAGGGTGACCAGTATGGTTTATATCCGCTAGTCCACTATTCAGTATATTTTTGAATTGCTCAAGACGCTCGTTTTCCGTCTGTGTTCACCTTCTGGCGTTTAAGAGAAGTCGCTTAACCTTACGAGCCCTCTCCATATTTTCGAATGTCTCCATGTCTTTCAGGCTCGGTATTAGGCAAGACGATCCCTTTGAAACTTTGTGCGATCGGACGTTGAAAGGCATTCTCCAAAAGCTCCTATGCGTCATGGACATCTCCAAATCCAGCCAGAAATTGCTTGCGCAGCACACTACTAGCAAGATGGATGACTGGAGGAAGCCCGGTTGCGCTGGCTGAGTCTTCGAAAAGCCGCCATGTTGCTGAGGCGAACTCCCTTCATATATCAGAGTTGGAAGTTACTGCTGGCGAAAAAGGTGCAGTCGGAGGAGGAGGGAATGGTGGCTCTGCACAAGTGAACGTCAACATTGAACATTCCAAGGGAATTAGAACGTCCTATGAAGGTGCTAGAGTGATCCATGGACTCATCAAGGGATCCGACTCGGGTGCAATCCGTATGATATGTGGCTCATCAGCAAAAATCTTGTGAATATATGTTCATGCCAACCCTTACCTGGTTTAGTGATAATGAAATCAAAATGAAGAGTACCTTAAGATCTCTACCTTAGGCAGGATTGACAAACGTTGTCTGACATATAGCAGCACATTTTTGACCTAGCCCTAAATTTCTATCACATTGCAGCGAAGGATCAAATTTTGTCTTTAACTGAAATAACGCAGCTGACTTAGTTAGCTACTAAACAGGCATAGAAACAAGGGCAAGACAGGCAGATAGAAGTTGACAAAATTGTGTTGTCCTCACTCTCTAAATCTCACTGGACGAATTTCTGGTCCTGGATGAAGTAGTTGCTCCAAATCAGTCACATTTCTGCCATCCACACCATCAAATTTCTTCTTAGTCTTCTGAAAAATCTCTGGGTCCATATATTTTTCATGGAACTCCAGCATCATTGTAATTTCTGCTGGGCTTAATTGCTTATAATCTACTACCTCGCCACTCGAGCTAAAACTGCGGTACACTCCGTCGGTAGCAAGGTGGTTGAAGCCTTTGAGTGATGGCGAGTGTTTCAGGGATGGGATGGCCTTCGATGCCTCTTCGTCTTTCTATAGCAGTGTCAGTATCGGGCGGATGCAAGCTGTCAGGAATACTCTTACTATGCAAGACATGATTTAAGTGATCTGTTGTGTGATATAATGAAACTCTTGATTGTATTGTATAATAGAGAGAGGGTAGTCAAAAGGAGGTGAAGACTTCTCTGAGAGATATAGTGAGGGGAGGCTGATACTCCGCTAATGCAGAGAGAAAATGCTGACGTGATGACCAGTGTTCACATGCCCTGAAAAAGGGATATAAAAGAGCCTTAAGCTACTCTATTAAGTAGTTTCCTAGTTATACACATGACCTCATAAGGCAAATATATCACATGTGCGTACTATAACCTTCCTAACAGGTTCGTTAGACATCCGCCACTCATCTTACCTCTAAAACCTAACCTATGTTTTTTTGTTAGAATTATCACTTCCAAATCCCTAGGATTCTGATACAATTTGTCCATCATTCTTACATGTATTGAGTAAAATCATGGCACCTCGCTGGCGCACAATAAATGGCATCTGCACCATTGGCAGGCAAGTCAACTAGAAAATAAAGCATGGGCAACAGGCAAATCTATTTACAGGTGGCTGATTGGGTGAAGTGCACTTGCTTAGCAGTGAGTATGTACCTCTCTAACCAGTGAGCAAATAATATCTGCCCCAGGCACTAAGGTATCGCCTCCAAGAAGATTTATCGCGTATATAAGCCATTTTGAATCTTGGCAATCTGATACATCGAACCTTTCACACCTGAATATCCAGCGTACAAAGTTTATAAAGGTCATTTGGACAGTTTGCGCAGATCCGACGGCTCTGATTTTGACTAAGTCTGAGGAAGGCTTCGGCAAAGAGATGAGTGAAGAATGAAGATAGGATTGCACTAGGACGTGTGTAGTCGTTCATGGAGGAATAAGACAAGGAAACAACTGTGGGAAGCACTAGCCTATCTAGGAAGATGGCAAGGTGCGAGGGCAACAGAAAGTATGCTTTCACTAAAAGCAAACACCTGCTCCTCCTGGTAAGACAGCATCTATATCCGTACGACCTCGGCAGCCCATGAACCGGCAAGCTGGACCATCAATGCAGGGTTGGCCTCTGCAGTAATAGTCGGACTGTTGGAGAGGGTTGGGGGCGCGCTTAGACTGAGGTGCCTGACGAGGCATGGGATTTCGAAGCTCAGCAGGAGGGTCAAGCAACTGTTTCTCATCCGTAACTTGACGTCCGTCGACGTCATCAAATACAGCGTGCAAATGATCCGCTTCCTTCTTCCATGGCTCTGGAAGGTTCGCGAGCAGCTGCTTAAGCTGGTCATTGGTCAAGGGAACATAGTCGATAACGGATTCGTTCTCGTCGTAAGCTCGTGCCACTCCGTCGTCCGCGATGTGGACATATACATGAGGTCCTGATTTCAACTTGGCCACGGCGTCGAAAACATTGATGCCCTCCTGAGCGGCTTTCTTGGGAGCCGCGAGTGATGATGTTGCCATGAGGCMCAGCACTGCAAGGTAAAATGAACGCATGATTGAGAGAAAGGAATTTGTTTGAGTTTGTCTTTGTGTGAAAAGATTCTTGGATTGTACTTGAGAAGTCGGTGTTTGCTTTAGCTCTGGAGAAGACAACCACATCTCCTGGCATGTCAATCGAAGTATTTATACTCATATTGGCCATAAGATATGCCTGGACTCGCGCAGATGACTGAGACTCTCTGGAGTGTAAAATATTAAATCCGACACTACGGAGAATAGAGACCACCTCTGGAGGTAACCGATCCCAAAGATGAATTGCTTAAAGTCCATGCTGCCAAGCCGTTGGAGGTGGAAGGTTGGGAAATACTGGTGAGGGGTATGCTTCTTTGTGACCAAGCGCAATGCCAGCGGTCTCTAACTACTCCGTAAAACTACATTCCCGACCCGACAGTCTGGGCGAGGGTGTGATAGCGATGCATTAGTCTGTTGATCAGAAACCTGGGCAGGCGCCTTCCAATTTCATAGGTAGGATTTCAGCGGACCGGCTCGGAACATGAGGCGAGCTGAACCCAAACGCATGTAAAACCAACAAGACAACAAACCAAGTCCTGTTTGGACAGTGTTAAATGATAACTAAATTAATCAGAAACATACTAAGATGCAAAGGGCAAGCAGTCATCAGAATGGCCTGACATTCTTTCCCAACCTCTTTCTGATTTCATGCATTTCATTTGTTATTGACAGGGGTTCATGGGCTACTTTTCCTCCCGCCGCGGCTTCTCTTTTTCTTGGGACAATTGTGTAAGAGAAGATGGCTAGGAATAGTCGATGCTTCCTGATGATTTTTCGTTATTAGCAGGAATCTTATATCCCCGCACTATCTATTGGGTTTCGCAAGATATCCATCTAAATGTAGTAAGGGACTTGGTATTCACAGGTAGGGCGGAAGAAAGTACTATCTCTAGCCCTTAGCTTCCTAAGACTAAATAAGACTATTATGATACAGGCAATGATCCTTGCCCTTTTGTATACTGCCACCTATTAGCCAATAATGGATCCTTGCTATTGTTGGGGGTGGTAGTGGAAGTTAAGGGTTTTTAATGTTTGGAACACAGCAGTGAGCGGAGTTTAGTATACAGTTGGAAAATGAATAATAGTTATGCATGATCGACACATGATCGACATCGAACTTTTCTGGTACGCTGTAACGCTGGGCCCAGGAAGCGGAACCTGGAGTGTCAAGCACTATGCTAAACTAGGTAATGTGTCGCCCCAATCATAACCTGGGCAGGAGGTGTATGCTAGTCCCAGGGTCTAGAGCATACGTCAGAACAGGAGGCGAAGTGATGGTTCTTGCCAGAATTGGAAATCAACACATATTTACAATAATGGTGCCACAGCCTCATTTCAGTACATACTCCTCCACAATTTACTGGGGTTATAGCATGGGTAATTAGATAAGGCACTTTCATTTCCTCTTCTTTCTCCCGGTGAATCAGCCCTTTTATGCTGCAGCTTAGGACCTACGAAACCGTGGAGCCAAAATCAGACAAGATCCTAAGTAATATGAAAGGTTATCCAGTAAACCATTAAATACAGTGCATGTGGGGTGTATTTCATTTCCCTTTTCTAGTAAATCCCTGGAATTTATAAAAGACATTGCAACAGACTACTGAAAGTAAATTATCTCTTGGCTGACATTGTTCTGATAGCCTGCCACTTACTATCTGGGATAGATACTTCTATAATAAATGAAACAATGAAACAAGTCCACAGATGCAAACAAGATATATAGGACGTTGAATTGCTCTACAGAGATGGCCTTAACTTCCACCACTGAGGGAATTTTTTCCCTTATTCTGCGAATGGTCAAGCTGATATCCAGCCCTGTACTTCTTATGAAATCTATGGCTCACTCTGAGACTCAGTTCCTTCCCTTCTAGGAGAACTAACTTGTGATTTTGAGAGAGTTAAGTGTTTTGTCAGATATCTGCCTGAACTATTAGGCCGACCAGGCTCTGGTAGTGATATGCTTTGTAGAGATAAGGTCTCCAATTATGGATACAACCAGCTGGTGGGAGTCATTAGCTAGCTTTATATTCTTGAAAAAGTTTACTTGAGGATTTCCAGCAAGGTCAGATGTGTCTGTGCAAATGTTCAGACACTGGGAGATACTGTCTCTTTCTTCCTTCATGCTTTCAAGTCTTAGAGTTTCTTCCCCAGTAAGATGAGATACATTATAATGGGAATAGTGTAGGCCTAAGGCAACTTTATTAGGTAGGTCTGGGTGATTATAGGAGATTACAGGAGACCTCTTACCCTGTCTATTCTGTACTTACCTAAGCTTACCAGCGCCGCGCGACTAAAAGCAGCGTCGCGCGATGGCAGCACCTACCAACCTTTTGACCACATTGAAGCCACACGCCGGTTAGTTAGTAGTTGGGTGGGTGACCACCAGCGACTCCCGGCTGCTGTATGTTTTTTCTTCACCCATTATTTTTGATGCCAGATACAGCACCTTCCCTACTCAGTAATTCTGCTTAATCTCATACCCTTCTGACCATGTGACCTTCTCTTTGACTGAAGTTTCTTCCACGACGTCGCGACTTTGTCTCACACTAAAGGCTGACCACTTACGGTTCAATCGTAATGAATTCAATCTGGATCCATCAGGAGGCGCATTTATCGGCTTATTTCCGCTAATGTCCGTTACTTCCAGAAGCTTGGAAATGGCTCTCGTCATTCGACCGCATGAGCTTTGTCCCGGCGATCATAGGGAATCGAGGTGGTTCTAGCCGACCAATGGTAGTCTGAAGGCTCTTACCTCGACCAAAAGGTATATTAACCTAACTGTTCGCTGTCGAGTCCAAAAGAACACAAAGATTTTCCAAGTTTATTGCGCAGGACTGTCCGAAACTGCTCATCCACAATGGCCGACGGCAGTAACAGCAACCTGAAAATCGTCTTTGGGGCTATGACTCTCGGGAAGCCAAGTATATTTATCCTTTTTCAACCGAATTGATTGGTAGTTGCTAATCAAATTATTGTTTTAGATACGCTTGGAGCACGCGTGCATTCCTTACAGGATGCTGATCAAATGATAACCAAGTTTCAAGATCACGGCCATAGCGAAATTGATACCGCCCGTCTCTATGGCGGTGGATCGTCCGAAGGAATGCTGGCAGATCTCGACTGGCAGGGAAGAAAGCTTGTCATGGGAACAAAGTTGTATCCAAACTACCTTTCCCCGTTAACCCAGGCTGCGGAGAAATATTCCCTCCGGCCTGACGACATTCGACGAGGTGTCATGAACAGCCTTAAGGCCCTCAAGACAGACAAGTTCGATCTCTTCTATCTCCACGGCCCGGATAGGAAGACTCCTCTTGAAGAAACGTTGAGAGAGGTAAATGCATTACACAAAGACGGATATTTCAGCCGCTTTGGAGTCAGCAATTTCATGTCGTGGGAGGTCGCAAAAATCTGCGAGATTTGCGACAACCACGGCTGGATCAAGCCAACTGTGTATCAAGGGATCTATAGTGCGTTGCATAGAAGCATTGAGGTTGAGCTCATTCCGTGCTTGCGTCACTATGGAATTGCTTTGTATGCATTCCAGCCGCTTGCTGGCGGGTTTCTGACCGGAAGATATCGTCGTGACCAGGAGGATTTTGAGGCCGGCTCACGATTCGATGCGAAAGGGCGTTCTGGAACGTTGCACCGTCAGAGATACTGGAACGACGTGTATTTTGATGCACTCGATATCATTCGTGCAGCTGCAGACAAACATGGTCTCACAGTTGCAGAAGTAGCTTTTAGGTGGCTGAAACATCACTCACAGCTGCAGAGTGCCCTTGATGACGCTATCATCATTGGCGCAAGCAATCTCAATCAGTTGGAGGGGAACTTGGTCGACCTTGAAAAGGGGCCTCTACCCGAAGATGTTGTCGGAGCCATGGAAAGTGCATGGTCAACCGTAAAGGGAGTTTCTCCCAAATACTTCCATTAGGTATTGAGATACTGTGAAATGCAATACCATAATAGCCGCTGGAAAATTTACATGATTATTCAACCATCGCAGCAACATTCTATCACTGCTTTGGGATATTATTTTTTATTTACACACACAAGAATAGTCTGGTTGGAACGCTTAATTAGTTAGAACACGGAGCTAGTTCACGGAGCTAGGTTAGGGCTGACAGCTGCATAACTAGCGTATGTGAAATAGTTTACTTCCCCACCGAACCGATCCACACATGCGAGCCAATCACTCATTACCCGGTCGCTGGAGCGGTCAGGCCCCTAAAGCTGCTGCCGCCCAGGGAGAGTACTATATCCAGTCTGCAGGTCGACGATTACCGGGGACGGGAATATGGACCGTATCGTGATGCGTTAGCACGAAAGGTGGGCGTCAAAAGGGATTTTCTCGGATTGGCCAGCTACGGTGACCTATTATGCTGCTTGTATGGGATTGGTTTAGACATGCTTGTAATATGCGATAGACCAGATTTATTTCTCCCAATTTGGGTCTGTATACATCAGATGTCAGGTAATAATTGGTTACAAGTTACAACTTCCCAATTCCCGCATTGGCCTTGACAGACGCGGCAACGCCGGACACTGCCCTGGCAGAGAGAATGCGGTTAGCCCCAGCGGCCGCCAACTGCGTCAGCGCAGCAGTATTCTTAACACCAGTTAGAGTCCCCGAGCCGTCAATGACAGAATTAGCCACACAGGCGCGTCCGATGAACGAGGTGCAGGTCGATTCGGCGCCCGAGGGCACGCTGAAGATGGCGTTGGACTTTGTGGTCGAGGCGGCGGTCATGGGGGTGGTTACATTGCTGAAGACATTTCCCTCGATGAGCGACCAGGTATTCGCCTCAATGTCGAAGGCATGGCCGGCCATATCCTCAAAGTAGTTATTGACGGCATGGAAGACGTTCGTAGCGCCGTTGTTACTGGTCCCGTAGTGTGGGGCGCGACCGGAGAGATGATGCAGGTAGTTGCCCGAGAACGTGTAGTAATCCTTCGCGCCGATGAGCAGAAGAGTCCAGTAGTGCTCGTTGTTGCACGTCGCGGACCAGTTCGTCCGACCATCGAACTCGCAGTTGGAGATGGTGACATGGCCTGCGGCGTCCCAGCCTGATACGATCATCTGGCGGCCGATTAGGCTGAACTTGCAGTGGTCGACCCAGACCTTGTCCGCGTTCTGAATGGTGAGTGCATCGCCGCCCCAGACGTACTGTGGATTGATGTTGTAGATGTGGACGTTCTGGATTATGACGTTGGAGGCACCGTTGATGCGCAGCCCGCGGCCCTGGATGATGCCCTTGCTGCCGACGCCGACTATGGACTTGTTGCTGTTGACAGTCAGTGGGCTGGCACCGGCCGCGTTGTATGTAATCGACGAGACGGCCGTCATGGTGCTGCCGGAGCACGAGAGCGTGCCGATGTAGTCCTGGCCGCCGTGATAGACGTCGCAGCCTTGGTAGCAGCCGGCAGAGGTGGTGGTGCCCAGGCTGGAGGTAAAGTCGAAGGTTTTGTCAATCAGGATGACGCGAGGGGTGTCGTCAGATAGCCACGACTCAAGTCTGGGATCTCTGTCAGTATGTCTTCTATGTCGCAGGCAGCATGGGGTCGCTGACATACTGTGCGATGTTGGAGGGAGCTGCTGGAGTGGCGTTTCCTCCTCCAGTAGTGCCCGCGGCCATGCCAAAGGCTGTCCCAGTGACACCTGCAGCGGTAACCTTGCTCGCTAGACAAAGCGTAGCAAAAATGATGGCCCTCATCGTTGCGAGTCGGAAGTTGTGCAGTCGGATGCTGTTCCGACCTATAGGCCCATTCCACCTGGACACTACGCCGCTATTTATGTCTAAGATGTATAGTGCAGCTTCTACTCTTAACTTGACTTCATATGCGATGATTAGCGCCGTGATAAGTCTAAAAGCTGACACCGTAAATTTTCCGAGACATGCATTGGCGTGTCCCAAATAGACACTAAATGGCTCAAGCAATAACTAGGCCCACGTAGATCCGTTTCAGGACTATAGAATGAAGAAAGGCGGGGAGATTCGTTCCACCTGTCGGCTCGCCTGGCAAACCTCAGCTTTGCCATTTTAGGTGAGAGTCTCAGTCTGTTCTGCAACGCTGCCAATGAGTATTCCCTCTCGGTGGACCTGTAAACATTCGTATTCTCGATTGGACGGTTCAGCATACTCCACACCGCATCCTAAGTGCATGGTTTCAGGTATAGTGATGCTTGAGCGTACACCGTCCTCGACATCTCAAAGCTCGAAAACGCTAAATGTCAATTCATACAGGTCGTCTCATGTTTGACCCTTTTTCCCAATCCCAGTATAATCCTGGGACATGGATATTCTGAAACTTAGCAAATATAAGGTAGTTTAGCGCCCCTTTAGCTGGGTTCTCAACAAAAATCGAGTATAAATTTGCGCCGATTCTGCATCCAGCTATTAAGCGCCGTCCCACACAGGTCCTTTTATGAAAGACAACCTGCACCGAGAGGGTACCAGATGCTCCAACCCCGCTGTCGGGCCATCAAAAAAAGATGATTGATACGGGACTACGCAGAAACCGAAGAGGAGACTGGACTGGGAGCCACTTTGCAGGTTGACCAGGCGTCGGTTACTGATATAGAATCGTTGCTGGCACAAGTAAATTCTGCATTTCGCTAGGAGATATACAGATTGAATCGACCAGAAAACCAAATGAGGCAGTCTACATACTGCGAAAGACGCTACATTATTCTTATAAGGAAAAAGCGCCTTCATGGGACTCAGACTAAGGGGTGACATCGAAGAGTGCGCCACATCACCAGAAAACGCATATTCTGGCCGAAGGGATGCCTCGCCAGAAACGGGCCTGCTGAGATACGGAGTCGGAATCGACTATTTCTCCTTTCATACTACGTACACCAACCTTCTTAACTTGATGGAATGCTAACTTGGGAGGTGCTAAAAGAACGAAGGATCCGCTACTGCCGTGAGAACCGGATCACAGCACAACTGGACGGGTCGGCTGCACAGTAGTGAATAAATGAACGATTATTTATCTTCTAGAATTGAGATTAGTGAACGCTCCGAGATGATGACTGAGCAAGGTGACGGCCCGAGGGGAGCAGACATAGTGACACATTATAAGGTCCATATTGCCTTCTCTAACAACAAGGCAGAACCAGACGTTTCTTCTACACCTTTATACACTCCGATTACATTTTCTTCCTCGTGTTTAACGCATAAGCAGGGTAAAAATACCAAATACTCTCGACATGCAGGCATACCAGTCTGTCCCTACCAGATGGGTTTCTGTCGACGGGTCTAAGATTGCTTATCGACGGATTGGAAAACCAGGGGCCGTGCCTCTTCTTTTCATTACCCACTTTCGCGGCACTATGGACGTCCTAGACCCCCTGCTGATTAATAGCATTGCTCGAAACAGAGAGGTGATTCTGTTCGATAACACCGGCGTGGGTCACAGTGAGGGGACTGTTCCGGACTCTCTACCAGCGATGGCTCTCACTACTGTGGGGTTTCTTACTGCCATCGGTGTCGATAAGGCAGACATCATTGGCTTCTCTATGGGCGGCCTCATCGCACAATACATTGCTGTGGACCATCCGCACTTTGTCAATAAGCTTGTTCTGGCTGGGACACAGTCGGGATATGGTGACGGCGTGGCTTATGCGCCGCCAGAGGTGCTAGAGAGCCTAAGCGTTCCCGGCCAACCCCTCGAGGAGGATATAGTACCTCTTTTTTTTACGCCGACCGAGACCAGCCGCGCACTTGGCCATCAATGGTTTGAGAGAATTATGGAGCGGCATGTTACTGGAGAAGAGGCAAAGGGATTCCTTGAAGGCCCTGGCGTCACTGCACAGCATACCGCGATATGGAAATTCGCCTCAGATCCAGAAATATTCGAAAGACTAGGAACAATCAAGATGCCGGTCTTGGTGACGAATGGGCAGAATGATATTATGGCACCGACAGTCAACAGCTATATACTACAGCGGAAGCTGCCTAATGCTGAGTTACATATTTATGCTGACTCCGGCCACGGGCATCTCTTCCAGATGCCTGAAACTTATGCGAAGCAATTGGAGCTATTCTTGGGGCGTTAAATACCGAATGGCGAGTGTTGCAAGGACAACGCGAGGGTCAGGCCGGTAACGCTCCGCCGGGACATGACTATGGGATATGCATCTCTAGCCAGTTTGTCTATCGTCAGCAAGCACCACTCACATACTCCCCAAACGAACAGACTTCATTCCTTCCTCCATAAGTGTCCGTTTTAGTCGCTATTAGGATATGTAGGTAGCTCCGAAGAAAAAGTTGAAGTTCGAACTTGAGATCCAAAGAAGACAAGAAAGTATGCGCCTATTTAGAGAACACCCCGGTGTCAAGAATAGCACCCAGGAAATTGAAGTGTTGGAGTCCTAGTATAGCATAAAGGTAATATGAAGAACATCATGGTACAGGGCGACTGGGGCTCAGCAAGCATACTAGGCGACAGGGTCAAAGAATGATGTCTCACGGGTAAGATGCTCAGACGAGTAGTGCTAAATCAGTGTAAATGAAAGAGTAGAAGCAGCAAATCCAGCATCATTGAAAGTCAATCTCCCCGTCGACAGTGGGAGAATGGAATCGTAGCAGAGCACAGAATGAAACACCGTTGTCAAAAATGACATAACAGATTGGAGAGGCTTTGTAATCATACGTACATCTGTACATGTCATTAGATAATTACCTGCTTAAAAAAGAAATGAAAATATTGTAGCCCTATGAGTGAACTGCTTTCCGGGGGGTTTCCTGGGCCCTACGTTGGTGACTCGGTGGTGATTAGCTCAGCCCGGTCCGAAACTGGAACGAGTAATGCGAGATTTCGGCCCGGACCTGGACGGACATTGACACAACGCCGGTCCATACTCCATAGTAACTAGTGCCCTACATGAGAAGAGGAGGAAGAATGTGAAAACTAGGTATATAAGGGTTTAAAGAATCCATGTCAAGATGTCCTGTATCGATCATCTACAACTCTATCTCAAACTACTTGGCTTTCACTAGCAAGTACAAACAATGACTGAATATCGTTTGCTCCTTGCTGGTGCTACAGGCTATATGTGAGTGCCCAACCTACCACTCTTCAGCATTATGGTCAGCCGGTCGATATGCTTGCCTATAATCGTATTTATACCCACTTAGAAATGTCTTACTAATACAACTATTTTGATCCCAGTGGAGGGTCGATTCTTACTGGCCTTCTTCAGTCGAAGAATGACGCTCTGTGCAAAGTCAAGATATCGGCTCTGGTCAGGGGCGAGGACAAAGCCGTGGTGCTCAACCAACTGGGTGTGCAGCCTATTGTGGTCTCAGATTACGGCGATTTTGAGACAATCCGGAAGGCAGCCCGGGAACATGATGGTGAGTCCTTATTTGTCCACGCGTGTCTCCAAATAGACTCTATCTCTTTTCCTCTTTTGTTGTGAGAAGTAAATGCTCATTCAGATTTCTACGGCCAGTTGTTATCAACGCTGGGTTTGGACTCCATCCTGGTGTTGGAAAAGCACTAGTGGAAGGCTTGGGAGAGAGAAAGAAGGAAACCGGCAAGGATGCATACATTATCCATGTAAGTTTTCAATATTGCTGTTTGTGGCATGCCGTGGGCTAAGTGTGCTTCGTGGACATAGACGTCCGGTGTGTCTAACATCGCGGACTTGCCTCTCAGCGGTAGATTCATTGAGACGCGTGTTTTCAGTGATAAAGATGATATCTACACATATGAGGAAGGGCGAGAGTCACAGATACCATACCCACAGCGTACAACTGAGCTGACTATTATCAACACTGCGGATATGCTCAATGTGAAAGCATACATCATATTCAATCCTATTATTTATGGGATTGGACTGGGGCACTTTAACAAGTTCTCCTTTCAGATTCCATTTCTTATTAGGAAGTCTCTTGCGCACAAGCAAGCCATCATGGTTGGTAAGGGAGATGGAATCTGGGGCCATGTCCATATCGAAGATTTGGTGGACCTATATCTCCTTATCCTGGAGAAGATAGTCCTTTCAAAGGCGGAGGGCATCCCAGTCAACAGAAAAGGGATCTACTGCTCTGAGGCAGGTGAGAACACATTCCTTGATATCTCAAGGGAGATTGGAAAGGCTGGTAAGGCTCTGGGAGTATTTAAGGCAGATGAGGTGATGAGTATGTCGTTGCCAGAAGCAACCAAGGCCATCGGATTTGATGAGGCGGTGGTGGAGTTGGCTTTTGCATCCAAGTGAGCACCCATATTATAATCCTTCCCTTCGTTTTTTGCGATTCTATCTTGGCAATACATGCTAACATATATATACAGTGCCCGCACCAAGTCAGACCGTGCTCGTGAACTGTTTGACTGGAAGCCAAAGAAGACGTTCGAGGATTTCAAAAAGAGTATTCATGATGAGTTCAAGGCGCTGTATCAGGGTAGATGAGACTCTACGTGGGCTGCTGACGGAAACGTTTCACATTTAGAGTTCTGAGTAGGTAAATACGAGGTCCCTGGGTTGGTTCTGGTGATGCAAATGTCAAGATGATTGCTCGATTACTCTATGTCCGAAGTTCGTAGCCAATCTTTTGATTATTGTTTATCAACACTCTCGCTATGCCTCTTGAACGTAAAGAGCAACCCGGAAAAAGAAGGGTACGCGCAGATATAGAAACTCGCGAACTCTACCTGTGAAGCCAAAGGTCAATTTAAAGAACCCACTGGCTCAATGGGTTGAGACTATTTGTACTTTTCACTATTTCCATGCTCGTATTCTTCAATGAAAGTGCATGGTGACCAGTTTAATTTTCCGCCCAATGGTCCAAAGATTACGTGCTCCTTTTCAGACGCAGTCGAAAGAGTTGTGTGCGTGTCTGCCTTCCTGGACCACAAACCATCCCATAATAACCTCGCTCACTGCCTCACAGTCTTTTGGCTGATATGCCTTGTAACAGAGAGATCAAAGATACTATATAGACACAGCTGTCCTACAGGAAAAAAGAGTTTGCATGAGTCAAAATTCATATCCAACCTGCGGAAAGGGCTTCCTGCTTGTTGCAGGTATAAGAATAAGTCATTGTGGCCTCCTCTTGTGCTCGGAGGATCAGGTTTATAAAGATAGCGCATAGCTTACACTCCAGGCGCACCATATCTCTCAATTTCCTTCTGAACCTGGTCGACTTCGAGCGCCTGCAAGACCGCCGACTCGAATGAACAAGCTAAAAGGCCCTGGGAGTCATCTGAATTGGTGAGGAGATCATGCACCAAAGGGAGAAAGCGATCACCAAGACCTCGAATAAAGGCGAAGGTAAAGTACCATGCAGGGAGAGCTTCAGCTGCAGGCACAGATTTTGTTATGTCCTGACGTATACGTCGAATCTCATTAGCAAATTTCGCAATGTTGCCGTTGAAGTCATCCAGCTTCACGGTTTCAACCCTCGCGAGGAGCTGGAATAAATCCACCTTGCTTGGGGGCTTGAACATCTTTTCGAGTGCGAGCCATAACTCTCTCGCATCGTCAAAACCCTCGTTGTCCAATGTCAATCGTACATCTGCTTCCAAGGATCCTTCCAACCCTCCTAAAGCCAAATCATTCTTATTCGCCCAATGCAGCAAGTCCTCATAATAAATCTGCCGCTGCTCAGGAGCGCAGTCCACACTGGGTTCAGAGGGTTTCTTGCAGTGGCCTGTAATAAGGTACCAGACACCTTCCTTCCGTGCGGCGGCTCGAAAGGAACTCGCCCACTCGGCATAGTTTCCGCCACTGCTTAGCTTTGTTACGGTATTAAAGGAGAGACCATTGCCAAGCGTGCGACACTTATTGATTCTTCCCGTAGCTAAGAAGTCCTCTATTGCTCGCGCTTCTCTTGCTGCAGCGGCTGCTAGAGCGTCTGATGAGCTCGTGGTGTTCTGTAATAACGAAAAGGGTTCCCCCGAAAAGCCGAAATCCTGGTTATAGTCTGCGGCATTCTCTGGGTTTGGCGCATCTTGGAAAGCAGACGGCAGATCCCATTCAGGGTGATCTAAACCAAGGGGGTTGGCCGTAAACAAGCTCAAAATAGAAGGGGAAGACATAAGGGACCGTGACGAGGAACTGATCGGTTCCCGCTCGCCAGGTCCCTGGCTACGCGTCATCAACTCAGGCGGTTGCTGCTCTCTCTGCAAATTCTGCGGTGCTCGGCCTGCATTCACATCTGTCAGATTTCGCTCGACCGAAACGTGCTTCAGTTGCTCAGCAGAGTTGCAGGCATTCGCCATCCGCTGCCCATACCTGAATAATCGTGGGTCGGGCCGAGAGCATTCCGGACGTCCCATTTGGACCTTCTTTTCACGGCAGGGGCATAGGAGCACTCTGTAAGATGAAGAGCACATTTCTCACAGGGCATTAATCCATTACACTTAATTTTGCGTGCTCTGCAGGCCACACAAGCCCTATGTCGGCCTCCTTCTGCCATAGCGTAGGCATCACGCTGAACAATATTGGAATTGTCAGCAGACGTGAGCCATCGTCGTCCAGCCACGCGGGCCGGGCAGCGGAACAATGTTTCTTCTGATGCCGAAGGGCGGAGGCGGGTTACCTTAGGACACAGTATGGAGCAGAATAAACACGCAGGAATAAAGCGGCTTATGCTAATCCCTAAGCACTGCTGCCATCAGGGGTTATTGATCGGCCACTCGAACGTGCGATGACCTGGAATCTACCATCAAATATCATTGGCCTAAATATCCCTGGCCTATACAGAGTAGATGTAGGGAACAAGAATAAGGTAGCTACCCTGGAGGAAGAGGAAGTGGAACCGCACCGCACTTCATTTTGAAAGGACTTGGGATGAGAATCAAAAAAGGTTATACACAGTGGACTATAGGAGGAATATCAGATCCCTCTTTTCGCTCGTGTGCAAGAAGAAAGATATTAGCATATCTGAGAACTACTACTTTAAGCTAATTCCGCTTCGATAATCCCCTGCACCGCCAGTGGAGACCTCCAAATCTTGACCACTTTGTATCCCTCCGACTGTAGCAACTCCTCCCAATGCGCCTCCGTCCGCTCCGTCCCGGCCACCATGACCATCATGGTCAGTTCGTACGCGGTGGTATGCGGGTGCGCCAGCGCACGGGGCGCGATATGGTCGTGGATCAACAACGTGCTGTACCCCGGCGTCATGGCATCTCTCTGCATGGCGAGGATCTTGCGAGCCGGCCGCATGTAGATCTTCAGCCGCGCCTTCTCGGTCGTCACAAAGTCGGTCGCCAGATAGCGGGGCCCGTTTTCGTACTCCTTGGGCTTCGTGTCGAGGTACTCCTGGATCAGATCGAGCGAGCGGAGGATATTCGGCTGAGACTCGATATTGGGCAGTTGGAGCACGCCCCGGCGCACGGCTTCCCACCGCGTGATGCCCTCCGCAGCCGCAGTGAAACAAGGCGGGAAGTACATCTTGGCCATCACGGGGATGGCATCGGGCGCCGGTAGACGACGACGGATATCAAATGCCAGGATCATGGGCATCTGGTATCCTACTTGCGCCACTAGACGCTTCTGCTCGGCTGTCGAGCGATGCGTGTGCACGAACCACTGGCGCAGCGATCGATACCAAGTGTCGTCGAACCCAGGCGTGCTCTTTGCCAGCGCGTCGCGAACGGTTTCAAAGTTCTTGATGCCGAGCGGGTTGGCGTCGTCGGCCGGCCGCAGGGGACTGACATCGACGACGAACCGAACAGTTTGCGTGTTACTGGAGCTTTTCAGCTCGAAACTATATTCGAAGGGGTTGCCGTCCCAGCCGACGCCGCTTCGCAGGGAATCGGCTTCGGGACGGCCCCCGAGCATCGGGCAGATGGTGTCCCTGGGAATAGAAGGAATTGGTGCTGTGCATCCTCGGGATACTGCGCTTCCTGGAGCATGCGCGCAAGATCACGTCCACTGGTTAGCCACCAGTAGGGTTGGTGAGTCTCTGAGGCGGGCAACTCGGGCCTCAGAGACTCGAACATGGGGGAGTGAACAGCGACAGACATTTCGGGGATGGTATGACTTGATCGCTGGGATTGGTAACTGACACGATATATTGAGGCCAGGCCAGTATCATTATCGTAACTGTGCTGAGTGGGATGAGCCGTTATGCCTAGATGATAGGGAGTATTAGGGCATGCAGCATGCACTGAGTGAAACCCCGAGTGTGCATATTACCCAGGGCAGCCCTGTCTCTGCACGACTAATACAAACCCCCACAAGCATCGTAAGTTCTATCCAAAATGATGCCCTTCAACATAGCCTGCCCGGTAGAATGGGTTTGCAAGCACTTTGGCATCGGCTCCCTGTCAATAGCCACCTGGTCGGCTGGCTCGTGGCGGGGATTGTCGCCGTGATCGCTTTCCATCCCAGTCGGACCTGGTGGCGATTACGGCACATTCCTGGTCCCTTTCCAGCTTCAATCACAAATCTGTATCGCATGAGCTGGGTACGTACTACACGGGCCCATTTGATACTGCAGGATGTCCATAAGAAGTATGGAGAGGTGGTGCGTATCGGGCCGAATATGGTCTCGTTCAGTAATCCCGAAGCGATTCCGACAGTATACCCCATGCGGCCAGGCATACCAAATGTTCCTCTCATTCTTCATATATATAAAACCAATTGTCAGAAGTTAAGGCTAACGTTGGAGACTGGAATCAGGTCGACTTCTACGTGACTCTCCGTCCCTACACCCGAAGTGGCGGCGCACTGCACGCCGTCTTCAACACCACTGAGGAGCACATCCTTAAGCAGATCAAAACTCCCATTGCGCCCCTCTTCAGCATCTCCAGTACTACGACATTTGAGCCTCTCGTCGACGAAGTATTACAATGCATCCGCGCCAAGTTCGAAGAAAAATTCACCGAGACACAGCGGATCATCGACATGGGTCAATGGCTGCAGTTCTTCGCTTTCGACGTCATGGGCACAATGACCTTTTCCAAGCGATATGGGTTTCTAGATGAGGGCAAGGATGTTGGCGGGATGCTGAGCACGATCGTTGATTTCATGAGGACCTCTGCAGTGGTCAGAAGCAGGCACCGCATCCCTTTCTGCCGACACTAAACTGACGAAACGGAGGTAGATGACCCAATCCCCCTTTCTTGATATGCTCCTACGCAAGAACATCATCGCCGACATCTTCTGGCAAGCCGTACGACCCACTCCGTCCCTCTCGATCCTGTCCTTTGTTGCCCAGGCCATCAAAGAGATGAAGGAAAAGCTAGCGAGAGGAGACAACAACCCACCCAGCGGCCACACCGACTTCCTCACACGCTACATCCAGCTGCAAAAGGACAACCCAGACATCCTCGCCTGGGCTCCCACAGCCTGGACCTTCTCCAATGTCATCGCCGGCTCGGACTCAGTCGGCACGATTATGCGCACTCTACTCTTCCACCTGCTGGTCTACCCGCATACCCTCGAGAAACTCCACAAGGAGCTCGAAGATGCAAAGCTTTCCCGCCCGTTTCCCCGGTACAGCGAGGTGCGAGATCTGCCTTACCTCGACGTCTGTGTCCAGGAGGCGGCCCGCATCCACCGGCCGTTTGCACTGCCCTTTGAACGTGTCGTTCCCAAGGGCGGCCTGACCGTCCTCGGGCATTATCTCCCGGAGGGGACAGTCATCGGTGGGGGCCCATACGTCGTGAATCGGGACCGGAACACGTTCGGCGAGGATGCAGAGTTTTGGCGGCCGGAGCGGTGGCTCGAGGGGGATATCTCTCATAAGAGGAAGTTGGAAGGGAGCATTCTAACGGTTCGTTTGTCCCTTCTTTTTTTTTCCTTCGTTCGCAGTTTGGGGTTCCTGTCAGCCTACTAACTGTGCTGCAGTTTGGCGCCGGGCGACGAGTATGTCTTGGTCGACATGTAGGAATCCTGGAAATAAAGAAGCTGATCCCTCCCATTCCTGGTTTTGACTTACGAGGCAAGTGTCTCCTTTCTCCAAAATTTTCAAGGTAGTAAACTGACTGATCCAGATGCGAGTGGTCGACAAAGAGAAATTTGAGGTGGAGAATTCCTGGTTCTTCTTCCAGAGAGCCTTCTATGCTCAGATCCAGAAACGTCCCGAAGTGCAGTAGCGTTTCCCACTACAATCAGCAATAAGACATCGAATGAGATCATTATGGACTAATGCTCAGAGTCCTGGCCCAATTGTAAGAGGCCAAATGTACATCCAGGCATGTGCCATGAGTTGTTCAAAGCATGGTAGCCTTGGTCGAGGAACCTGTTAAGGGCCTAGAGAATGTTCTATACTTACATGCTGGTGTATATGGAAGCAAGGTTGCATATTGCGCGAATGAAATTCAAAGCAGCGGATTTTTAGTTAAGGTTTGGGGAACAATCAGAGTGTAGGGGCAGTGGCAGCGGTTTCTGGGAGCACTATAACTTTATTTTAATCTCTCCGTTTGCAGCCAAGTCTCGAACAGTCATGTAGCCTCTATGATCCTATAGTCTTGCTAAGTTCGCCTCCAGTTCTCTTAGATACGAGAACAAGCTCTGTGCTATTTGGCACACGACTCTTAAAGATCTACTTGGTATACAATTGAGTGCCTTCCACAGCTCATGACGTTGCGTCATCATGTGTACATACAGTCATCTGATAAACTTCTGCTCTATAAAACATGGTGAATTTTGTATCTGGTTGCTCCTCGAGTTCTACACTTTTTGCCCCTTAATCATCAAATCCTCATTTAAAAAAAGCTTTCGCGGCCCCTGTACTGAAATTTATATCTATATTCCACTAAGAGTGGGACGACAGGCCGAATAATGGAAACTGCGGCAGGCGCTGCTATTTCAACCGGCAAAGAGGCCCTGAATACCCTGAATAATTGGCTGGATGATAGGGCAATTGCAAAGTCCTGGTACGGGGAAAGTTATCGAAAATTCACCGGAGTTGCCCTTTGGCCACCCAGGAAACTTTTTCATCTCAATATCACGAATGTATTAACGATAAAAAAGGATGACTGGCAGAAAGTGATCGAACACTGCCTCTCAGACTGTTATACATGGCATCGTCATACCGGCGGAGGGGAGTGCTGTTGGCTAAGAATTTTTATCTCGCTACCTGAAGAACTGAGGGCTAGATGTTTACAGAAGCCTGAGAGTTCTCTTCAATCGTTGTCAATTGTTCAATCATTACCTGCCGCTCGCATTGACTTGTGGGGCTTGGTGGTTTTTGCTTTTGCTAATGGAGCTGAACAGAGCGTGAGGCAAGGTTCGACTGGGAGCTTCTGTGCAAAGTTGTCTGCAATAAACTTCGTCCTGACGATTTGGCAGTACGACATGGCTGGACCAATTTGCGCTCATCTTGAGCCCAGGGAGCAGGGTTCGAGAGATCGAAGTATGCTTACTTCATCTGAATGGAATAACTTGCTTTGGAGCGGTCATACGTTCAAAGAATGTGACCATATACTTGGTTGGCCACTCACTGGCGAGCTGCCAAGGGAGGCGCCTCCTGACTTGACCAAAGATGTGCTGGATGAAGAATTGGCTCAGATAGTCATGGACAACCAGTGGTTCCAAAGGCTCCAACAACAACTTCGCAAGTTAGTTTATGATTGTCATGACTGCTGGGAAAGGTTCGAAGAATCTATGTGGGAAGAACGAAGTAATCTCAAGAAGCACTCTGGAAGAATCCTACAAAATCTCTTGGCCTTTAAACTTATCTTGGTTGATGATGCTAAATCACCGAACGACATCATTGGAGAGGAAACGGCAGCAGACACGCTGCACTATGCCCAAAGGCAATTGGCATTGGTCGAAGCAGAGATCCTGAAGAGTCAACCACCTTTGCGCAACATGTTGCAAAATGAAATCTTGCCACTTCAAAAAAAGATTGTCGCCCTAATTCGGTTGATGACTCTGACAAAAAAAGTGATACCTCACTTAAGTACACGAGGCACCGGCATACATGTTTCTCTCGCATGATATTGCATGATATCAGCGAGATGGCTGCTGTCTTATGCCACTACTATTACGGCTGGATAAATCTGTCACCCAGTACTCTGTGTGTCCTTCATCATTTCAGTCCCTTCATCTTTTCGTTCCGAGTGCAGCCTCTATCATTCGTGTATTATAATCAAAGGCCCTGTTCTACACCAGGTGGTGGACCCTACAAAAGTTTGAGTTTGGGTTTGCGTTATAATGTTGCTATTTTGTACATGCTAAGCAAGGCTTCATAGCACCTCCTGCCAGGTTAAGAGTTCTACTCAGCTTTTTATATATATGATTTGATTAACCTGCTGGCTTCTGCCCATTCTGGCAGTACTAACTCAAACAGACGCATATTATGGTGAGTTTACATGAGTTATCCGTCTTGTATCGATGTCCAACTTGTCAAGGATGCGCAGCCAACTACTCAGAACGGTTCGACAAGGGAAAGCCTGGCGACTCAGTTTTGGCATGACAACCAGAAGCCAGGGCATGTTGCTATGCAATCATATTAATGCTACTTAGTGTTCTATACCCCAATGTCATCTTTTGATTTGAACTCATGCTTAGGAACTAGTTGTTTTACAAGATGCTTCTAATTCTAGGAACTAGTGGTAACGCGCACGGCATCCCCCATGTATCTTATGTTTGCGGATGTGATGATCGTTGTGTGCCTGATGACTGGGCACCTGGGCGCCGTCTCCGGTGGGATGCAAGGTCGGCTGGGTGTCTGCAGTAGCCATGTCGGGAGAAGAGGCGGAAGGAACCGAGGTCTTAGACATGGCTAATCCTGCAGTTGACTTTGCGCTAGAGGATGTTGCGGCAGGATTAGGACCAGTTGTACTCTGGGTGAGTACGATTGAGATTGTCATGCCAGAAGCCACAGTCAATGGAAAGTGGGAGTGCTTGTGCTTGCGCTCGCAGTAACTGATAGCTTTGAAGAACTTGGCGTTGGTACGTCCGACTCATTCAGGTGATATAACGGCGAACCCCAGCCGAGCCCATCATAATGCCCTGATTCCTCGCTCCAGGAACCTGCAGCGCCCGCCCTCTGGGCCCTTGTAATAGTTGAGAGACTTGTTGAGGAACAAGGCCATCCAGGGTGCATTCACTCCTTTGATCATCACATAATGGCTATAGAGCAGCTCCTAGGTAGGTCGCATCACACCACGAGACGCATTGCTAATTTCTGTATACCTAACAATGCCGTTGGTGTAAGGAACGAAGGGGATATCGTGTCCCAGATTATTACAGGCCCAGTACTCTATTCTATAGGATATTAGTTTGGGAAGCTGGAGGGATATGGGACTGTGCTGACCCTTTCAGAATGCAGCTATCATTACTAAAACCAAACAGATCCTCTCCCTGTCTCTAAGCCTGCTGTCCAATTGCAGAAAGTAACTGAATATCTAACGCTGAATAACCCTGGTCCTGACCGGACTCCTGGCCATATCTGAAGTGATCGTAACTACTTCGACCCTAGGCTGGGGATAGAAAGAAGATCAAGAGCAATATTAGTCAACAATATAATGCAGATGACACCGCCAAGTGGGCTCAAAACAGCAGCAATGACTGCACAAAACCAAGAAGATGCCACACAGCAAGGAGAGCTTCGTGCTGGCCAACCTTCCATTGAATGCCTGCAGAGTAACCGTTGCCCCAGACCCTCAAACTAATCATTTCTGTCTACCAGTTGACCAAGGTCTACCACCACTAGACATCCGCACAATCCATCATTACAGCCCTTATTTCAATCTCTTGCCGTCCGACATGCTGATGCTGCTCTGAACTGTTCATACTCCATAGATGATGATATATGTCTCGGGATGGTGCAGCTTAAACGACACGCTCAGTTTGCAACTAAGAGATATCCAAGTCCGAATCAAACCCATGCGAGAAAAGCAATCTAGCCCACTTGATGAGATTGGAAAAAATGGCATCTTCACATCTCTTGACCTTGACATCAAAAATGATCGGTGCCAGATCCTGGCAAGGGATACTCCATTACCACAATTAATAGTAAGACTCATATTGCGCACAAGTCTCTCTCGTAGCAGAAAGCCTCAGATGGACTGGTATAGTACACATATCAGATCCCCGCAAGAAGCTAGCAGTAACAGCGAAGTCTGTCGATTCACCGAAGTATACTTGTACGATATCTCAGGACAGATCATCAATCATAATCAACATGAAACATCAGGATTAAACAGAATCATCTCTTGCAGCCACAGCCACCTCGATTCGCTGAGAATTCGACTTGACTTTCTTCACATCCTCATCCTCATCCTCATCGTCCTCGCCTTGCTCATCACCCCGATCCTCGGGTAGGATAACCTTATCACCAAAAGACGCGGCAATCTCCTCGAGAGTCTTCTGCTTCGTCTCACTAGCAGTATATCAGTACACATCAACCAAGCAGGATCACCAGTAAAGGATCCATCAACTTACGGGAAATAGAAATAGGCCACCACAAAAAAGAACGCCGTACACGCCACGAAGACATAGTAGTAGTTCTCGTGGATGTTCGCAAACGCACTGGGCCCTGCTTCGGTGACTGCACATTCGGATATCTTAGCATTTTTGCGCTTTACCCAGCGGGGAGAGTAGACGGAACAGACCAGCTACATTGACGATGAAATGCGACGCGGCCGCTAGCCCCATTACTTTGCTTCGCAGCGCGATGGGGAGGACCTCGGCGCCATAGAGCCAGGTTGTGCTGTTTAGCATGCCGTCTGGTATTCCTTAGTACGGTTCTTTTCCTTCATCCCCACTGAAAACTGATCGGGGTTTAGGTAGAGAGGAAGGACGTACAATAAGTCACGACGAACAGGTAGATACCCAGTATGGCGAAGCCCTTTCCGACGCGGTTGTTTGTGTTTTGGAATTCGCGCTGCATGACTGCGGCGTAGATCTCGACGAGGATTATGCCGCCTAGGCCGGTGAGGATCATCCTGTGACGCAGATGTGGATTAGTTTGGGTTATGGAGAGACTAGGATAGCAGAGGTCGTTACTTTCGGCGTCCCCATTGGTCAGTGAGGTATTTGGTTGTGAGGCAGTTCGTGAAGAAGGCGATTGTGCCGTAGACAGCAGCGAGGGCCAGAATGGTGTGCGAGTCGATACCGAGGGATTTGTAGAGGATTGCTTTGT